AAAAATATTTATTTCAACAGGTTCGTAATGTAATATCCTATCGATTGGCGTATTTGGATTTTAATTTCATCTATAAATGACAAAGTTACAAGCGTTCAAAACCTAACACTCCTTCACCACACATATTTTTTGACTTGCACCCCAGTATAGTCCACAAAGACGTAGTTCTACGTCAAAAATCGAAACTCGGTCATGGGGGTTGACGTTCATTTCTCAGCCTTTTTTGGCGAAGAACAACAGTTGAAGGCTTCTCTTGGGAATTCCCGAAAATTGGAAATTATTATTTATTCTGTGAAGACCCAAATAACCCTCAGCCAGCTAGCTTCCCGCTGATAACCCTTTTTGGTTTTTCTTATTACTATTCTTCTTTGGATTTATTACGTCCCTACTGGGTACGCTAGCCGTCAACTTAGTGTTCTTTGAGCAGTTGTTAGTTGAGAGCTTTTCTAAGCCTGTACCATTTTTGCAATAGTATGATTGTGTGGCAAGTGCAATCATACCAGGGAGGTCGAGACAATTTTCAAGCCGACCGGGAATCAAACCCAGCCCGCTGCCTCCAGCATGGTCTTGCTTTATAGCTGCGACTTTACAGATTGAGCTAAGGGTGGTTCAACACTTGTGTGCTATTGTTAGGCTAATATAGGGCTTCCGGACTTTATATTTGTCGTAAATCAGCCGGCAATAAGCGAGCTTGGGCAGCTTGTATCAGATTTTTTTATTACTTTCTGTTAAAAGATACATGAAGAGCTTTGGCTTCCCATGGAATCGTCTTCTAAATTTCAAGAAGTTTTTTATTTCCATCGGAAATTTCTATTGACATCGCATGGAAGTTTCTTTTATTTTTCCCGAAAACTTTTTCCAACTAGGTGCCATCAAAAGTTTTTTTTTTTTTCAATCGCTTGAAATAAATTTATTTCCCATTGCTCTAATTATTTCTTTTAGTTTTTCTGCAAATATTGTTCATCTTCCTTCCAATGTATTTTGTACATGACGTCAGTATGTCGATGTACCCGCCAATTTATTTCATTTCTCTCGGTAGTTTATTTTAGTGTTTCCAGTTCCCTGCCATTTTAGCTTCCCGGGAAACGGGAAACATCTGACAGCTCTTCCGGGAAATGGGAAATATACTTGTTCAAAGTCCAGAAAGATAATAAGTTGAATTCATGGCATTTATTCATCAAAATGTTTATTTCTCAACTTTTGTACAGTGATTTATTATATAGAAAATAGTTTAACCACTTAATTTTAATATTTTTACTTCCATCAGAAAACTTTCCCAAGCTGCCAACGATTCTTCCTACGACTTCTTTTGTTTTTTTTTTTCGACTAAGAACCCTGGGAGCTCTGCATTACTCAACCATCACGACAAAACGGTTATTTGCAGAACCACCATAAATTATTGTTGTTTAAGAGTTAATTTTCATTGAACGTTCGCTGCCAACCACATCACCCCCAAAGCAACCAAACGTTTATGGTCAAATGCGTAACAGTATCGAAGTGATACATAAAAATTCTCACAATGACCGAACACCACATGACCTTGTCAATTAACCAGAAAAACTTCAAATTAAGGTAAGGTTCACGAAAATGCTTAATTTTGTCATCAGAAAACGAAGCGTTTCCGTGATGGGAAAAAGTGATTTCCCTAACACATTCGCCGAATATTGATACCGACTACGTAATCCTACGACAAATCTGGAATACAACCTCTTATATTTTTCAAAATCTCCAGAAGTTTCTCCCGGCTTCCTTGATAAGTCTTTTTGGCTTCGCCTGAAAAAAAATGTCTGGTTTCTTCGAATGTTTTTTTTTTTTTTTTAATTCTCTTCCTGCTTTCCATAGAAAAATCCTCTGATTTCACCTAGAGCATTTGTCCTATTTCTTTTAGAAGATCTCTAGACTTTCTCTGCAAACTTTCTCGTTAGATATTTTTTCTCGGAAAGCTCTAATATTTTTCACTTAAAAATACTTCTAAAATTGTTTCCCGGGAAATTAAAACTAATTCCCAGGAATCGGGGAGCGTAATTATTGATTAATTTCCCGGGTAAGAAACACTATTTTTTTTTTAGCTTCCCTCCGAGTATTCTGGCAACTTTTTCTGGAAGATTTTACCTGCAGCTGCTTCCAGTATTTCCCAGAACTCTTCAGATATCGACAAGCAGTGTCTGTCTTCTGACATCCTTCCGGAAGATTCTTCTGGCTTTTCGCTTCTAGATTATTCTTCTAACTGCCCTAAAACCTTTCTGGCTTACACTGGAAGATTCTTCTGAATTTCTGCAGAAGTTTTCTTCGCCAGCACTAAACTAAAGTACGCTTGTCGAACTAGTTATTTTTAACGTTATTTGCGACTTTAGAAATATAGGGAGATAAGTTTTATACTAACAAACATGTTTCTTGAAATAGATGAATGCAATTGACTAAAATTGACTAAATTTATTTCACGGAGCTATTTTTCAGCTTTCTTTGTTTGTTGGGTAGTGATGCCAGTGAGAAAAGTCGCTTTGATATTCAGAGGTGTCCACAATATCTCGGGAGTTTTCTTCTAACTTCCGTCTTCTCCAGCAAGCCTTTTCAGCTTCCATTGTAATTTTCCTTTGAGTAATCCCAGAAGAGCAGTTCCACGCCAACTAACGAATCGATTTTATTTTTCCCTCCCTCCCTCTCCAGCCATCCACCGGGAATTCCGGGAACCCGGGAATTACCCGGGAATTCGTTATCACCGGGGAAAACTCCGGGAATTCAATAGCACCACCAGGAAAATTTTGCTTAAAGGGAAATTTACCGACCCAAAAAAAAATATATTTTTTTTACGTTTTTATTTTTCTAAAAGTATTGGGAAAAACTATCAAAAATCCAAGAAAATCCGTTTTTTCTTAAGATGCTTGAGAAAATTTACGTGTAAAAATATGTTTTCTAGTTCTAGTTTCATTATGACTTCCATTGAAAGATTCCTGCATCTTGTACTGGTATATTCCAGCTTTATCCAGAAGTGCTTCTGGCTTCCTCCTGAAGCTTCTTTCATCAAAATCTGGCATTTTTTCCAGACTTGCTCCGAAAGTTGCTTCTGATTGACACCGGAAGATTATTATGTGTTCTCCTGCTGACTTACTCGGTATGTACATGCTAACTTCCTCTAGAGTTTCTCTAAACTTCATCAGAAAATTTCTTCCGGCTAGCCCCGCCACATTCATTTCAAAATTTAAATGACCCAATTCTAAGAAAATCAGTCATGATTGTACAGTGTGAATTTTGGAAAATGTTGTAAGTTTTAGTACTCAAAATTTAAGACAAAAATGTATGTCAAAATCATGTTTTAAAACCGTTTGATTTGAGCACGGTGCCAAAATCTAGCTTTTCCAAAATCAAATGGGTACTATAATTCCTAAAATTTTCCAATTTTTCACTAGCAACCAAAAATATCCATTTGTATTGTCCAGATGACACATTGTTCTAAGAAAAAATGAAAAATAGTAGATTTTTATCGATGGGCCCAATCTTTAGATCTATAGACCAACATTAGTGCCATTTCCCCAATTTCTTTAAAAAATATTACCCTTAATTCACTTTAGAACTAGACAAAATATACCATTATGACCAGACTTAGTTCTCAGCCTGACTCTTGATCCCCATGAAATAGGTGTCGAGGAAGATCGTTTTAGTACCTTACCCGACTATTAATGCTAGCTCCCCTCGAGAGATCACCACACCAGTGTGTGGTGAAGATTGAGCCGGATAGGCTCGACGCTTGTGCAGAGCATGATCCGGATCGACGACGGAAAAGAGAGTGGGAAACCTTCTTCATGGAAAATAACTCGTTTTAAATTAAAACTCGTCTGGCAATGGTGCAGTCGAAGAAAGCCCGCCATCCACACGACACATCGTGTGGGATGCATGGAGAATGCACTTCACTGCATCTCGGTCGCTTGCTTGCCTGCTTGCTTACTTGCATGTGAGAAATCCTCTTGTAAAGGGCTAACTCATATGGCGCAAATATCGGTCGTTGACGGTCGTATTGGATATTGCAAATAAATATACGCAAACGCATAAAAGCGTGCGGAACCCTCGACACCATTCCATCGCATTGTTATGTCCACGATTGTATATATAGAAAGGTTATTCCAGCCGAAGAGGAAGAATGAAAATTAGCAAAGGCATCAGGAAAAAAAATAATTGACTTCTTCTCAATGATATCGAGACATCGGTTTGGAGACTATCGAAGCCTCCAGGGCAAACCAGTGCACGATGGGCAATTTATCTTCGGGCCGTGAATGTTATGGGACATAAATAAAAATGAGAGGGATGAAGAAAAACTATCCACGGATCGGCAAGTTCAAATCGATGTGGTCAATCCACTCGATGAATTCTGCGAACAATTATTGTTCTGCTGAACACAAAAGACACAAAATTATACCCTTCGTATTTAGATAAACAATTTAAGTTATATGCAGAATGATAATATACTTAGTAATTCTAACTAAAAGCGATACAAAAGGTGCTTAAAAAATGTGACAACGTCTTGTTTCGTTTCGGATTATTTAAATATTTTGGGGCATCATGAGTTCTCTTCCCACTCAGACCACCCTCAAATTATATAGAGAAAATATACATTTTTTATTGAACCCATCATGTGGCGGCCAACGGCAACTCATTCAGCATTAAAGTGAAGAAACGAAGCGTTCAAAGAGTTTTCAATTAAAATATGTAAACGCAAAACGATAAATTTTTCCACAAGACGCGCGCTTGCTTCCAGTCAGCATACCTACATATGTACATGTTCTCGAGAAAGAGCATGGCAAAGATAAGACATGAAATTAATTAAAGGTCTACAGGCGACTGTATGCAAATTACCGGCTTATTTGCCGGCACAAGGCGATCGAGATTTGCCTCCAACCCAGAAAAGTGCGTGTCTGGATTCTCGCAAAATATATGCATGTTGAAGCTGTACGTTTGTGTCAATCGATTAACTAATAACACATTTTTCAATGTTTGTCTTCTTCTAGGGTTCTAGTTGGTGCACCTCTCGGTCAGAATCTACAACCGGCAACCAATCGGTCGGGGGCCCTGTTCAAGTGTCCAATCACACAGCTGAGCAATGATTGTGAGCAGATCAAAACAGATGGTCGAAGAAGTAAGCATTTTCCTGTTTTTCCATTTAACGCCACTGACTTGATCACTATCGTTTATTTAGCTAGAAAACAGGTAGCTTAGAAATATATTGAATGCTTGATTTGCAAAATTACACATAAGAAAATAAAGACCAACTAATAGGGAACAGTGACTAATTAGGAAGGAAAATTATATTTCTAGAATATCAACCAACACAGCGATCAGCAGTCAGTTAACAAATGATACAACTAATAATGTTTCGTTCTTCTTTTTTATGTGATAAAAATCTGAATCTGTGAAAACGTCCATTGACGCCTTCTTACCAATATAAAATCAATGAAATCAACCAACGCAATCCAAAAACCAATTGACTAAACGCCTTATTGTTACGTAATTTGTAGAACCTTCTGGTATATATGAAAGTAAGTGGTTACGGGTGCTTTTATCAGTTTTCGAGTTGCTTGCTAACACAAACTTCACTTCGAGTGTTTTAATCATCTTTTTCTTTTAGTGCACGTGTTTTTAACATTGATGTAACATAGTCTAAGTCATTAGTTTGCCTTTACTTTTATATAAAAAATCCATCATTCAGTAAAAATCTTTACATTTTGACATCTAACTGCTAACCCGTAAAAGCCCGGGACAAACTTTGTTATTTAAAAAAAATTTGTATCTCAGAGATTCCAGTCGATTAAATTAAAGTGTATTTAATATCTTTACGGTGAGTGGTTCTTACATCTGTTGGGTGGTATTCACCCTGAGGCACCTTCCTCTATGTTATATATTCAAGGATGTGTTGGCACGGGGGTATTTTTTCAATCTTTCTCACATATCTTAATTATCACTGCAACAACATATTGATTTTTTCGTGGAACTCCAAGAAATTACAGAGAACAATCACATGCCTACCATGGAATCTATATGGATTGAAAAAACGTGACGAAAGGGAGAGACCGAAGAGGTGTTTTTTAATTCTCCCTCAATTTAGCGTGACATAATTCATGCATGACCCAAAAGTGTTTTAACAACACCATTAGTTCAAACGCAAAGTTAGCTAACCTTCATATCTTATCTCAGCTGCAAACAGCTATAAAAATCAACTCTTTAGATTAACCAACCGAACGCAAGCAGAAGCATTGGGGCGGAGATATATATTTACAAGCTCGGGTATGCAAATAAAAGTCCAACTGAGATAACATGCATTATCTGTGTTTGTGCCGTGAAATGTCTACAAAACTGATGGCACGCCAATATGTAGGGTTTTGATCTAATTTCCGTCCTACTAAGCACAACTCGCGCGTTACCTTTCTTTTCTGAACGATTTTAAACAAAAAAGGGAATATTTCTGTCAAAGATGACTTTTAAATTTATTCACCTTTCCATACGTACCGTTGGATTTGATAAAGAGTCACAAATTGTTGAGTAATACTGCTTCTTGGTTCTAAATTCGTTCTACGAGTTTCAATTCCGTCCTTACGTATTGAAACGCCTTTAGATTTTCTTCGTCCTAGGGATAAACGTAGAAAAAAGGGGATTCGCTAGGAGCGCATCTTTTGTTTTGAACATTCAATGAGCGTAAATATTCATACAATGCGCTCTAACAGGGTTTATGTCGTAGCTAATGAACTAACGCATCGGAACGAACCTATTATTGACTTCTGCACGGTGAAATCATTGATATTATTGATCTTTTCTGATTGATAGAACGGAAATGGGCGATTACGACGAAGTAGCGCTCTACCCTATACTTGTTGATGAAAGTGTTGCTCTGTTCGTGGAGCAGCTGAAAGTAGGATTTGCTATAGAACTTCATGCGCTTGGTCGATAGCCGAGCTTGCGATGTTCAAAATGGAAAGCAATGTATTATTTACTCTAGAGTTCAGAGAATTTAGCTTACTTCAAAGGATCACGTAACATAACCTCAAAATTGAGCGAAATTTGGATTAGAAAATTATATTTTTTAACACTGAACAATACTCAATTATTAGCGTAAAGTATGAAGTAGGAAATTTAGTATGTAAGTATGAAGTTTTACTGATTTTTGCATTTTGATATAAAATTGAAAGTTGTTGGAAGCGATATTGGATGAAGATTATTACCTACGTATTCGGTTATATGATATTTTGGTTTGTTATTGATTTAGAAAGCATGAATTCAATGAAAATAGACGTTTGTGAAACATTTAATAAAATGCGCACTCTTGCCCAACCAGGGGGCGAACGTAGTCGGAACTCTTTTACTTAATCAACCATTTAAAATAAATCATGATTTTTTCAAATAGCTATCCATAAGGGATTGTAGCCAAATATTGAAGGAATCGATTTGATCAATCTTTTAATTTTGTCGAACCTTTAAACGGAATCCCTTTATGAAAAGTTTTTTGAGTGTGTTTATTTATTTCCTTTCAATTCCGTTATAATTACTTATCTTTTGACAGATACGCGTATTTCGTCTACTACTTGCAGACTTCATCAGTGCCAAGTACTCAACACCACCAGTGTCTACCCCACTTTACTACCTTAATTATCTACTTATCTCGAACACAAAGTTCACTTTAAGTTAAGATTGTATTCGACGCATCACTCTGTTTTAACATCTCCGGTTGCCGATGCTGAACTCTGCTCAAAAAGGTTTTGCACCGCCGGGGTTAAACTCAATCGGATGACAGTTCAGTGGTACGTGGACTTAGTCGATTGTTTCTTGGTAGGATTTTTTCGATAATTTTTCAGACTGCAGTGAGGTATAAACCACAATGCAATGGCCGCGAGCAACAACCTTTTACAGCGCATCTCCTCGACAATTTTCCAAATTAAAATTCCGAAATTTTAATTTTTTTTTAAACGTCTAAGTGCTTGTAAACAGTACCACTGAACTAACAAACAGGTTCAGCCGTTTACCACTGAGTTCATTTGTGACGTCCCACTGCAGTACCTGATATCACCGCATCTCATAGACATTGTCTTTTTTGTGTAATTGTTTATACACATCGTAGGCCTATCTGTGATGGATTATATAGGGAAAATTATGGCTTCGGCATCCTAAATTCAAACATTAATTTCACTGTATTTTCTCACCGAAACAATTCGTTGAATGTATTTAAACGATTCATTAGTCTTCCAGCTTCAATCTGTTATGCCAGGTTTTTCTTAAAATTTGTTATACGCACTACAAAATGAGACTGATTTCGAGTTGCCGATAATAGAGCAACTGTTTAACACGCGTTTCAAATGGATAGGTTGTTACCGAAGAAAAAGAGGATGCCGCCAATTTTTTCCCTTTATTAGGGGCTGTTCAGTAACTTCGTAGACAGTTGTTTTTAGATTCTTGACCTCTCCCCCCTGCGTAGACAATTTTCCATACAAAAAAAATATTTTATTTTGTATTTTTACGAACTGTCCGCGAGATCCAGGAAACCCCTTCAGCTACCAGTTTCCGGTCGAACTGTTCGTCGCCGTCTCGAAGCTCAATCGTTGAACAGCAATGCTGCCCGGAAGCGCCCGTTTATTAGAAAGGCAAACAAAGCCAAACGGCTTAAGTCTGCTAAGTAACATGCTGATAAGCCCCTAGAGTTCTGTAAAACGGTTCTCTGGACGAACGAATTAAAATTCGTGCTATTTAACCGAAAGTGGCGGGTTCGTGTGTGGTGCAGCATGGAGGAGGAAATGGGATGGTCTGGGGGTGTTTTTCGTGGGGTGGAATGGGAAGCCTCTTGAAAAATGACGGGATAATGACGGCAGATTCCTACATCAACATCCTGCGGGAAAATCTGGAGGTTTCGCTGATCCAGACGGGCCTTGAAGAGAATTTCGTATTTGAGCAGGACAACGACCCGAAGCATACTGCCAAGAATATCAAGTCTTTCTTCCGGTCTTGTCGGATCAAACCGCTGGAATGGCCTCCACAAAGCCCAGACCTCAACCCCATCGAGAATTTGTTGGCGATTCTCGATGCCAAGGTTAACAAAACTGGTGTTATCCATAAAAATAACTATTTTGAAGCCCTGGAGCGCGCCTGGGAAGAGCTAGATCCACAGCACCTAAAGAACCTGGTGGAGAGCATCCCAACAAACAATTTTAACTGTAGACTAGCTTATACGGGCAAAAATTAACTGTATAAGCTAATCTTTGGCTGTATAAGCTAACCTGCAGCTGAAATTGTTAGTTGGAATCCCGAAGCGCCTGCATCATCTCCTGAAGGCCAAAGGAGGATACATGAATTATTTAAATGCTTATAAATCTCGGTCTTGGAACAAGTTATTACAGAATACATCAAATGTTCAACGCATCATCGTTTAACTAACCTGGGTGGAGCATGTCTCCACCAGGATCAATTATCCCCTCCCTCCCCTATTACTTAATACAGTAGATCATAACATCAAGTGAAAATCTGACTTATCTCGATTGCCTATATTGAGTAATGTCAGCTATAGGCTGAACGTAGTTGTGTAATATTGTGAAAATTTATCCGAATTTCCGTAAAAACAAAATACGCCGAACTTGTTTTTATACGGGTACAAATTTCTGCAGGTACCTACCATATTTTTCTTTGATTTTTTTTTTTCTAATTTTTTGACACCAGTTGCATCAAGTTTGGTTTTATTTGAACATCGGAAAAAAATAAAATAAGACCGCGTAAAAAAGGGTTGGTTGTAGAATCTTCTCATTGTTTTGCTGTTCATCTTGCTTGCAAGTAATATTTTGTAGTTACAACTCATGGATTGCATGATAACTCTACATTTATTTCTAGATTGGTAAAACTCGACTGATTAATATCAATAACATTAAATCTTAATACTTTTCATCGCAAACATGTTCTCTCATTCCAATTAACCATGTCATCATAAGTCATCATTAGGGTTGATGATGGTTGTATGGGGTAAATATTGGCTCCCCATCTCTCATTAGATCTATCTGGTTGTCTCCAACAACTGGACATAAGGTAACAGGAGTTTGTACGAGCACTTCCAAGCTTCTATTTAAAATAACAATTTTCTGAGCACTCGCTAAATTGTTAATAACTAAGTACAAAGAAGTCAAATAGAGACCAAACTATGCTATTTGACCAGCCTTAATCTGAAATATGAACGTGATTCCACTATTACTAAATTGTCTTCAAATACCTTATTGAACTATATCCACCGTCCATACAAATTCCTGTAACAACCGAGTTCCTTCAAGCATAACACAGTTTTTGGAGACTATCAGAGCCAGTTCCTAAAAATGACCCACCCTGTTGATCACATAACACAGTCATTCAATCTTAACTCACTGGGATGAGAAATCATTGCTGCTAACAATTGGTTTCTACCGCGTGAAAGCTAACCTAAACCTAGATACACCTTCTTGTTTGATATTCCTGGGATTGCTGTGCATTTTTATGCCAATTTGTTCCGAACCCTCAACTAATGGAAATGTTGCGTTTCAAAAAGGTGACGATGAGGACGACGATAGTCTTGCACCGCCAGGAATGGATGAGCTCAAGACGAATCAATGGCTGGGCGTGACAGTCAAATCCGGCGGAAAGGAAAATAAGGTATTTTGAAGAGGTGTTACTGAAATACTTTAAATACTAAACTATTTTCTGATCGTTTCAGATATTTGTCTGTGCCCACCGCTACATGAAGGTGCATGATCGGGGGAAGGCTAAGGAAAATGGACTTCATCTGGGACAGGGCTTGTGCTACGTGTTGAACAATGACTTCACGTTTGGCTTCGCGGTGGAAGTGTGCCTTGGGCGATCCATTGAGCGCGAACACGAGCAGTACGCTTTCTGTCAAGCCGGTACTTCCGGGATGATTCTGGATGATGGTACCGCTGTCATAGGAACACCCGGTGTCATGATCTGGAAGGGTACGGTGTTTGCAGTTGAGGTTGATGGAGAGTTTTTATCGCGAGATAAAACGCAGTACTACGGTGCTCATGATAATGCTGATTCACCGGTTCCTAACTACAGTTATCTAGGTAGGATGGCGATGATAAGTGGTGTTGAGAGATTCTCTATTAAAAACGGTTAATCATTCTAGGAATGTCTGTAACTGGCGGGAAGTACTTTGGTGACTACATGTCCTACGCAGGAGGTGCTCCTAGGGCTCGGGGGAATGGACAGGTTATCTTGTTTTCCAATAGAAACAAGCGAAATCCTATTCTCAAAGAAAGAGAGCTGCGAGGCGAGCAATTCGGATCCAGTTTTGGATACGAAATGGCTACTGCAGACGTTAATGGTGATCAGTGAGTATTGGTGGTTGTACATTTCGCATACAGAAACCTAACAATTGAATATTGCAGTGCACCAGATATTCTCGTCGCAGCACCGTTTTACTTTTCCAAATCAGAGGGTGGAGCTGTCTATGTCTTTCAGAATATGAACAACAACTTCTCGGACAGCTATACTACCAAGCTGACAGGGAAGCTAGAATCACGATTCGGCATGGCTATTGCAAATCTAGGTGATATCAATAAGGATGGCTGTGAAGATATTGCCGTTGGAGCGCCCTATGAAGGAAACGGTGTTGTCTACATCTATCTCGGAACTCCGGATGGATTGTCAACTAAACCATCGCAAGTAATATCATCAAGTTCTTTAGGCTTAAATGTTCCAACTCTGAAAACATTCGGAGGTTCCTTATCCGGAGGAATTGATCTCGATAACAATACCTACCCTGATTTGGTAATTGGTGCTTACGATTCTGCTGCAATAACAACACTATTAGCGCGTCCCATTACAAACATCAAAACCTCAGTGGTGAGTGATGAGCTGGAAAAGATTGATCCCGCTAAGCCTGGCTGCCGAGCTGATCCAACCGCTAACGCCACGTGGTAAGTCAAATGTTTCATAATCAATCGGTCATTTGCTGAGATTCAAACTCTTGTGCCACGTTTAGTTAAACATACCTCTGCTCTAATTTCAAAACTTTCAGCTTCTCGTTCAAAGCATGTTGTTCGATAGAACCGTACGAAGAATCTGGTCACTCCAGCAGTCAGACCCAGCACTTGAAACTGATTTATACGATAGAAGCGGAAACCTACAACAACTTGAAAAAATTCTCACGTGTCTACTTCGGGCCAGATACACGAAACCGATCGAATATTCTGCGAAAACAACTCAGCGTTGTCACTAATGGACGGCAAGAGTGCCGAGAAGAGATTGTCTACATCAAGGACAACACACGTGATATCCAAAATCCAATTCGTTTCCGATTGAATTACACAATTTTGGACAACACTCTCCCGGCGTCGGCGCTAGACACGCTGGATCCTATTTTAGACCAAACACAAGCTGATCGAACGTTCGAAGCGACCTTCCAGAAAGACTGCGGTCCCGATGGTATTTGCCAGTCTAAGATCGATGTGAATGCTAAGCTCTCGCTAGAAAAGCAAGGTACATTCGATAAATTGAAATATTGCACTTCCATGAAACGAATCGTTACTAATCTGGCTCTTATTTCACTTAGCCGACAATTCCTACTCTCTTGTGCTCGGACATGACCGTAGCATTTTGCTCAACGTAAGTGTTTCCAATTTAGCCGATTCAGCGTATGAAACCCATCTATTTGTGAAACATGATCCCAGTATATCGTACAGTGGAACAAAGGTAACTTCTTCAATTCAATCAAAAGCGATAGTTGTCTATTTATAGGCACTCTTCTTTCCATTCCCAGAGTCTGTACACATGTACCCAGTTCAACGCCACCCTGGTGGACTGTTCGTTAGGTAATCCTATGCGAAGAAACACAGAGGCAAAACTTTCGCTACGGTTCGATCCCCAGCGCGTGGATGATCTGGTGGCGAAACTATCCTTCCAGGTGTTTGTCAATACGACATCGGCGCTGCTCGAAGGAACTAAGCATAGTACTACTCTAGGGGTGAATGTCATCAAACGCGCCAAGATCAGTATTTCCGGGTATGTATTTATTGAAGTTGGATGGCGCAAATAATTAATGAATATTTTGGAGAAAATCAGGGTAAAATCATTTCTCATAGTCGAGTGCAACTTTTCTGAGACTAACATAGGGGAAATGGATGTAATGTCGGCCTAAATGCCCCTAATTTGGGCCCATGCATAAATTCAGCAATCGACTAAATTTTCAATAGCAACATAGGCGTAGCCAGATGGGGGCAGGGGGATCGACTGCTCCTCCCCTAAACTCAGTAACACAAAGGCTTTCGGGGAAATGGCGTTCGGTGAAATGGCATTCGGCAAACTTTTCGATAGTAAATTTTTTTTCGCCCCTCCCTAGCTCGAAACCTGGCTACGCCCTTGAATAGCAACCTAAAATATCCATTAGTACCGCCCCAATGACACGTTCATCTATATAAAATTGATAAACAGCTGATTTTTAGCGATGGGCCCAATCTTCCCCTATCAAAACCCACATTAATTTGCCTTTCGGTGGCACTATTTTTTCCCAATATAGTATACAAATGGCCAAAAGGTACTCTTTCGGTTATATATCTAGAATCAATTGTCTGATTAGGATAACTCAATTAGAATAAAATAAGGTTCTATGCACTTTAAGAACAAAATGACAAACAAATCGCTTCAATAATTTTGTCACACATCACGTGGCCCTCCAAACAAAAGCTCAAACATGGCCATCAATCATTAGAATTATAAGCTTTGGATAATCATGGTATGGGTAAAATTGTCGATTCTAATGGAATCTAGCGTTCACAATCATAAGGGCTTAACTGCGATGATCGATTATCTTCATCGACTTTCTCTTTGAATGAATCATCATTGTATGTTGTTAGATTTGATATCACACCTACTATCATGCTGCCACGTTCCTAGAAGCCAAAAGTTAACCGAAAAAAAAATATGTAGAGTAAATGATGGCTCGGTACCCATTGACTATTTTCGGCAACCAAATTTTAAAAGTTACTTTCACTGTATTTTGTCACCAAAATACTTCGTTGAATGTATTAAACGGTTCCTTAGTCTTTCAGTTTCAATCTAATTACATTTTTACCGCTGTGCAAACCTGTTATGCCAGGTTTTTCTTCAAATTAAATATACGCACTACAAAATACAGAAGAAAAAGTGGCTGCCGACAATAGTTTAGAACGTTGTAAAACGTTTTCAACCCATTTTGGACAATTCTATCCATTGGAATTGATAGAGTAGCAAACAGCAGATAAATGTAATCAAGCAAACACGTCATATGTGCGCTTAACGCTGAGAAATTGCTAATTGAAATGCGAACGCTGCCTATATTAAAGAGAATACGTAAATTCCCCTATGTAATTTTAACATTTTCTCAAAAATATCGCCTGTAGAAGCGAATCAGAAAAGAAGGTTCCGTTAAAATTTAACTTTTTGAAAAAAAATTTAGGAAAGGTCCTTCTTTGGTAAACATAGAAATTAATCATAAAAAATATATCTAAGCGCTACCTGCTCCCAAGTAGTTACTTAGTAGTTACTGGCTTAGAACATGACTGACTTAGAAATTCAATAACTGAATCCCCCTAATTTTCTATTATTGTTGTTCTAAGCAACTACTTATTGAAATAACTTTTAAGAGGTTTTCCATAAAAAAAACGTTCCATATCATGCAGTATATTACAATTTATTCATGTTTCTGCAAAAAACAATGCTGAATATTTTGAAGAAAACACACTTAAACAATTCTATTTATATTGGTTTTGTCGTGGGATGTGGTGGGAAATGGTAGTACATAGTAATTAAGTGACAAAAAAATATATAAAAAATTTAAATATAAAAAATAAAAGTCAATAATAATTTATCTATTTTGCGAACTACTGTGCTATAATATTCATTAAATATATGTGTATTGGTATTTTGAACAACTGTGTAGAGCATTTCAACAAGTAGAAGTTTATAGAAAATAATTATAAAGTAAAATCTTTTATTTTTATTGAGGAGTTTTCCACGAAAAGCGATCCATATTTCAATGAGATGAAGAAATAGACACCAAGCGTCTTCAGCAAAGTTTCTTTTTTTATATTGTATCAAACATTGCCGAAGACATATGAAGTTTTTGAAAAAATAAATTTTGGATCTCACTTCATTGATCTGTAAAGGTCAAAAGAAGGGCTTTTTATATCAAGAAACTTTTCGCAAGACAGCACTTGTCTAAAATGCAAGATTCACGAGATAATGCGTTTTGACCGTCTTTGAAAAACACAGAAGGAAACCATTCATATGCATGCCATCAATTGACGTTTGACCGGACTGATGAGTTTTGAGTTGGAATGAATTTTTGATGTTGTGAGTGTGAATGCGTGAAAATGCATTAGAATCTCAATTGTGATGTTTGTTTACAAATTCGCACGCAAGTTTATTTGTCTATGAATGCTTATTAAATGAGATTTGAGAATGATTTCCAGACGCAGATTTTAGTAATTTACAAAAGTTGAAGCTAATATCATAACCTATAAAAGCTTCATACATCATTTTACGGAATTCTGTTGATGGAAAAGGTTAGAGGCGAAAAATGTATCTCAAGTTAAAAATTCCATATCTCAAATCTCATCCTCGAACAAGTCACGAATAACCCAAGAGTGTTAGTGGCCATGAAAAAAAATCCGATTCATTCGTCCACATTTGACACCTTTCAATTTAGAATGGTTTATTCCTCATTTTCTTCTTTCCTTTATTTAACGTCGGTCTCTGTTCCGCAATCTAGTGCCAATCACCGACGGACATCGATTGCCATCCATTGGTGGCAAACGAATGTGCAGAAAGGCAGCTTCCACACCTGCGTAGGATATCGCACCCATTCAAATACACATGGGCCGAGACCAACGGCTTCACTTCCCTTCCGAAGGAAGACGTGACCAGAGATTTTTATGCCTCAGAAAAATCCCACCGACCTCGGCTGGGATTGAACCCACACCCATTGGGGTGAGAAAGCAGTCACGCTTACCACTACACCACCGGCTATCCCTCATTTTCAAAACCGCTTAATTAAAAACTCTTCGAGATTTTTAATAAGCCAAAAACCTGTTCGAAAATTATTGAAAAACGCTAGGAAACCTTTTCAAATTATTTCACAACTGTATGGCAACATTTACCATGTTGTACCACAATTTGCAGGAAAAAATTTCGTGTTGATTGAAATAATTATTTAATTTATATATATGTTATCTTCAAACAGGGCCGCCCATCCTGAACAAACCTTCTATGGAGGAGAGGTCAAAGGTGAAAGTGCAATGGAAACAGTGGAAGACATTGGAACAGCCGTGCAGCACATCTATCAAGTAAGTCCAACGTGAATATACTTCAATATTAAATCCATTCTTATATCAACCCTACATTTGCAGATTTATAACGATGGTCCGTGGCGTGCACCGAAGGTCCAAGTTAACATTCAATGGCCGCATCAAGTAGCCAACGATAAGCCCCAGGGAAAATGGCTACTCTATCTAACCGACACACCTTCCGTGGATGGTAATTAAGCGTCCCATTTTCCCATTAGCACATTTAGGACTTTAGTTCTACTAATTATCACCCTGTTTCAGCTACCAACGGAGGAGACTGTGTCGTTGATCCTAATTCAGCCATCAATCCGCTAGGACTGAAGAAAACATCTGTCCTAAACGAACTGATGCAAATGGAGCGTTACACTCAACGAGCGCATAATAAGTCGCTCACATTCAGTGCGGAAAAATCCGAGAGATTATCATTTGCCAAGCAAACATCATTCTCTTCGTCCGACAATACACTAAATCGAGTACGACGCGATCGATCGATGATCATCCGTGCCGAACGACTAACCGATAAGGACGGCAAACAGACTGATATCGTGCACATGGACTGTAAACGGAACACTGCAAAATGCATTTCGATCGTGTGCAATGTGTACGATGTTCAGCCCAAGGCTCAAGTACTTATCAACGTAACAGCACGATTGTGGAATTCAACACTGGTATCCGACTATCCTCGAGTGGATCTAGTAAAAATCGCCTCGATCGCCAGAATTAAGGTTTTCGAGGTGCACCAAGATCATCCCTTCGATTCTGTCACGGTAACATGAGAACCATATAATTAATTGTGAACATAGAAAATGAATTTACTTGAAACATTACATTCCAGGTCGAAACGTTAGCATATCCTGAACTACTCGACCAAGCAGGTGATGGATCCATCCCATTGTGGGTCTACATAGTTGCCATCGTTGGCGGCTTGCTGGCCTTCGCGGTCCTCACCTACATTCTGTGGAAGTGTGGATTCTTCAAACGACGAAGACCTGACCCCACGTTAAGCGGGAACTTGGAGAAAAACAGCGAAAGCAAGCCTTTTATCTAGTAGGAAATCACAGTTTTCACAATGGAAAAAAAGATTACTTAAAAAGTGATAAGAACCATCCATTAGGTTAAGAGGCGTTCAGTGCTGAAACAGTACTTCAAAAGAGTGGAATGGTAATTTACGGAACCTCAAAACGCTTCGATCCAACCATGCTTGGAAAATGCACTTATTTACAAATATCCACACAAAAATTGGTTGAAAATTTCAAGTTAGGCGATTTCGGCAAAGAAGCTGAGAAAACAAGGATAGGAACTTCTTTCTCCCCTTCTTGGGGAAACTCACTTTTTATAGAAGATCGTTGAGATAAGAGTTGCTGTACAACGGTGAGACGGTCACCGAAAATAACATTATAAAGACTGATATAAGCTCCACTTCATAAATTTTCAATGAAGTTTAATAAAGTCGATGCAAATATTATTTTCCTATAACACCCGACCCTGTTGATAAACGTTCAGTAATGCGAGACAATACACCTGTTGCGTAGTCATTGCTATCCAACGATGCACCTCCAGCCACCACACTTGAGTACATACAGTTACCGCTTTGATCTTCGTTCTGTTGTTGCTTTTCTGGCTGCTTCCCACTTGGCCCTCAATCTTTGCATAAGAAACATTTGCGTTTAATCCCGTCGTAGAATATATTCCATTTCCAATTGTAGAAAAGGGGATGTCTTTTCAAACATACACCCCATAAACCGGTGTAAATTTTGGGGTACTGCTCCGCAGGAAATTTCTCCCGGTTGACACGCTTAACTTCCCCTTATTTTCCCAACACTATAACGCGGTCGGGAACTGGTGAAAGATTGTACACTCGCACGTATTGAACGTTGACAAACCTAAGTCAACACCCTCCATATGCGACATGCGTACCTCCACTGCCTTTTCATGCGCATAGAGCGCGGTTTAGAAGATTCAATTCAGCGTTCAACTCACTTGAACTACGAAATAAACGTTCATAAAGCTAGTCGAGGGCGGGCTTGCACTATTCGACGTCAAGTCAATTGACCGCCGACTTCAATTTAGCGTTCAAATCACTTGAACCTTGTATTTTGGTCTTAATGGAAAATAGAAAGCTCTGAGATATGCTTAAAACCATGCAGCATCCTGTACAGCATAGATTCTTCAAACTTGAACTTAACGCAATCACACCTAGTAACGCCTCGCACTTTTTACTGCAAACAACTTTGTTTAATGAGAGGTCAAAACAGATCGCAACAACATGCAATCTCTTTTTTTGGCGTTCAATCAGCCAATCCAACCTACTTCGAGTTGCTTCTAGTTGAAACAGCTCGCGAATTCAAAAACAATTGAATGTGAACTGATTCGAACTATGTTCGCATAATATGTCATTTCAATTAGATTCTCTTGATCGATTTTCTCTCTAGTTAATAACTCAGCTGCAAAAACATTCCCTGTAGTTTGAAGTTTTGGACGCTAGGTAAAATCCTCCTTTAGCACGAAATCCGATGGTTATCAAAAGAGAAGGTCGATGACGAGAATCGATCAATGCAAATAGGACCCAGGATCAGGGAAGCAAAAATGTCTTTGTCATGACAAAATGACATACGACATACGAGCCAAATAGTAATGGGTGATCAGTAACGGTAAGCAACCAAGATGGAATTGTTTGAAAGTTTGATTGCAACAAACGGGGTTGATGACATAACTTGATCGGAACGGTGGAACGACATAACACAAATTTCCCCGATGATTTATGCACAGTGTGTGCTGCAACCAAACTTTCAAACAAACACATCTACCGTTCCGATCAAGCTACGTTGCAGAAAGAGTATGTCATGGCAATCGTCGCATGCGTTTTGTCTATATTGTTACTTGTTACTCTCCAGGATACAACATTTTTAATGCTAATCTAAAATGATTCCATTATAGACTCTGCAACGATTGGATGTCCAATAATTATTGTAATTATATACCCGAGGAAAATAATAAATAACTTTACACGGCAATACGCGCTTAGTACGTCACGAATCACTTTTATCAAGCGCAAACAGACCATAGAGGTAACTCTATCCAGCATTTTACGAGCGCTTATGGCCGCCACAATCTGACTGAGTTTTTGGTAGGGAACATATGATTTGACGTTTGGGTTGCGTCGTTTGACGTGTAAACGTTCAAATTTGAACGTTTACGCGTCAAACGACACAAGCCAAACTTCAAATCTTATGTTCCCTACCAGAAACTCAGCCAGATTGTGGCAGCCATAAGCGATCGTAAAATACTGGATAACCAAAAGGTCCCGAAAAAACGTGTTCAACTTTTTGGCTCAGCTCAGGTACTATCTCCGGTCCCAAGCTAATCGATGCACCCCTCGAAACATAGGAAAATCCACGGACCCCTCATTTTATCTGTCAAACTTTCATACCGAATCAAAACAAACATAGTGTAGTACTAGAATTTCGACTAGAATGGGGTGCATTAATCGATTTGCTTTGGACCAATAGGCTAGTCAAGTAGTGAGCCAATTTGAAATCGTTAGTTTCCAACCGGTGACCATACTACACTTTCTAAAAAAAATTAAAGGGGGAAGTCATTTATTTTAAATCGGTTAAATATGGTGCTAGTAATTCTGAAATTTATTAAAGCGCTCTGAAACCGGCCAAGAAGTTAACATGGGTTAAATGTTTATTCAGTTTATCAGTTCTGAACAGAGATTTTATGGTAATTTGGCATAAAATTTGCTCTTAACATAAACAATAACTTGCATTAATATCATCATCAATGATTACGTGTGGCAAAATTGTGATGGTTGATACGGGTTAAACTATCCACGTTTATGGACAGCCCCTAACGTACACTGTTTGATCGACAAAAAATTTTAAAAAATAGGGCCATACAACGAACAGAAACCATCTTGCTTATCTCACAGGATATCATGTTATAGCATAATTTAACAACCTTAAAATTATGACTTCTGTATGCTCGATGATTTCGACCAACTTTTGCTGTTAACATTAGACTGATGCCAATTTTTTCAACAATGTTTAACAGCTAAACAAACTTATTCATCGCTACATAATTGGCATAATTGCTTTCGTCTATGCATTGCGCTGTCCTATGTTCATTGTCATTAATTCAAACTATATAAAAAAAGGTACATTAAACTCATCGGCTCCGGTTGGTAGTGAACATTGGTACAATAATAGGCATAGAGAGTCCTGATACAGATCGATCCAAACGATCGTGTGTATCGAATCGTTCGTGTTCAATAAATAAGTCTAAGGAACAGTTAAAAAAATTAAATTTTCGTTAATACTTACAGCACTGCCTTTAATTACAAATTTTAGAGAAAAACAATAATTGAGCACAAAGAACCGGTGCTCGAAAGGAAAAAAAATAGGTGTGTAAGATTCTGCTGAATTGTATTGTAAATAAGTTCCTTTAAGTAAATCTTTTGAAATAAGCAACAAATATAGGTAGAATTAAAAAAAAATCAGCCTTAAAACAGTAGTTTTCAAGAATACTTACTTGCCTATATAAAGTGCCATCCTTCACTTTGCATTCTTCTTATTCTGTGAATATTAGAAATTGACAACAATGCCTAAATGACCCCGTTAGGTTCACGCACCAACACACTAACATAAGCAAGCGAAGCAGCAACTGCTGCAAAACGAGCGCAGTTGAATGTCGTGAATCTCGGGAATGACCAGATCAGTGATGCTCACCACCGAAGGTGACATTCACCAGTTGCCTTCAACTTCTATCTCCAAGCTCCAACAAACACATTGCACACTGGGCCAAAAATGCAATCTAGCAGAGCAAAATTAATAACTCCAAAACGAAGCATTTCCGCGACTTGGTGTCTTGGGTAAAGTTTCTCATCATAATAAGGACCATATATTGACATAAACAAATAGTTCAAAACTCTTCTGCAAAGATGGCGCCACAATCTAACTTCTTTCACTGACGTTTTGGAGATTTGCTGTCTTCGGCAAAGTTGAAAGTCGACCGTGACAAAATAAACAACTTTTTTGAAAACGTAAAATTTTCACAGCCTACTGGTTCCGAGTTATATGGAGTTAAAGAAAAAATGTCGAAAATATGTTTTTTATTTCTGTTTCGCAAAAACATTAAATAAATAACTTTTGTGAAGAAACATACTGGTATAAGCTTCAAATTTTAAAGATATTGTTGAAAAACCGAAAAAAACGACATTTTTTTTCCTTTAATATCTCCCAAAGCGCAAAAAATCGCAACCTGACATTTTCAGCAAAAATTTTGCAATACTCGACAAACAAAATATCAAAATTTGGGGGAGGTATATTTTGGTGTTTTTAAGATTTCACCATTTTAGTGGAGCATGTATTTTTTTTTTCTATAACTGTTTTTAAAGCTTTGAAATGGCGTTTTGAAGACTTGACGACTTAGACAAAGTTATTTATCTTGATAAAATAAACAACTCTTTTGAAGAAGTCAAAACTCCACAGTCTACTGTTTTCGAGTTCGAGTTTGTCAATAGATGGTCCTTATTATGATGAGAAACTTTACCCAAAACACCAAGTTTTTTTTATATATATCTTTATTAAGGAGACTTTCAGCCCTGGGCTGGTTCGTCTCCAAAACACCAAGTTGCGGAAATGCTTCGTTTCGGAGTTATTAATTTTGCTCCGCTAGATTGCTTTTCTGGCTCAGTGTGCATTGATAGGAATATACCAAGCGTTATTTCCCTCAGCTGTTTAACGATCGAGATTGTTATACATTACAACTCTGGGTTTAAATGACTGGTTCACGGAATTTATTTAAAAAACCTACCCTTTATCGATGACATGAAATCAAGAAGACTGTCAACTTTGCTATAATCTAAGAGACAGATGCAGTAGCGCCATAGAGGTAACTCTAACACCAGAAGGTCCCGAAGAAATGAGCTCAAATTTTTGGCTCCGCTCTGATACTATCTTCGGTCCCAAGCTAATCGATGGACCCCTCGAAACATAGGAAAATCCACGAACCCCTCATTTTATCTGTCAAACTTTCATAGCGAATCAAAACAAACATAGTGTAGTACTGGAATTTATACTAGAATGGGATACGTTAAACGATTTGCTTGGGACCAATAGGCTAGTCAAGTTGTGAGCCAATTTAAAATCGTTAGTTTCGTAATGATTGTTGGTAGCGCTGCACTTGAGCCAAAGAGGATGTAACACATAGAAAAAAGGGAAATACGAAACCTAGCTTCTGTGGATGGAATCTTTTCTAT